TTCCCTCCGCCACCCAGGATAGTCTGAAGGCTGATCTGGCAGAAGACTGTTTGTCGCCATGTGATTTTCCAGATCCAACTCAAGGGAAGGAGGAAAGCATGGGAGAAAGGAAGAGGACAGGCTGGCCATCTTGGACATAGCTCACCACCAGACTGTCTTCGCTACAAAGACTGCAACCCACTCCCCTCCTCATCCTAGTTTTTGGAGATCCCACCCTAGTTTTTCACTCCACCGCCTCCCCCGTTACACTACCACAATTGTAGGTCTGCATTGCAAACCAGATCAGTTCACTGAGAGAAAAGATTGTTTTTAACCCCAACCACTCCACTGGTCTGCCACAGGTCAGACTGAGGCTGCAGGCAAAGACTGCGGTGAGGGACAGGAACCCCTTCATTAGCACTGAAGATGACAAATGAGGAATTACAGTCAAAAGCACTGCAATACGTTTCACACCACTGGAAAGGTTTGTATTTGAATGAAGAAAGTCTGCCCTCTGAGAGAGACAAATACCACTTGAAAGAGTCAGTGAAATGAGACCTGTCACTGTTTTTTGTGAAATGGAACTGCAGACAAACTAGTTTACAGTGTTTTCCCTCTTACGCTGTTTCGTATTAACAACAGGAGAGAAGTACAGTACTTACTTTGATACAAGGCTACTGTAGGGCTATAGTATTTACCACTGGACATGAGCTCCTGAAAAAGGGTAAGTAGGTGCTGATCAGTAGATTCATGAGATCTGCTGAATAACCCTGGCTGATGCCTAGAGGTTAGACACCAGTGCTCAGTCTGAGAACTTGAAAATTTGTATGATGGTACTCCATGAGTGGTAAACATGCAGGTCAAGGGCAGCTCTAACAGACCACAGCGGCAAAGATGTAGTTAGCTCTGTAGTCAAGATAGCATATCCTACCTTTAACTTAACATTCTGTTGAATACTTGGCAGTAACAGTTGAGTTGACACTAAATTAATTATGTCTTTTGCACAAATACTTCCTTGAAGGAATGCTTATTTTGGTGTAAAAAATCTGAACAAAACAAAGCTCAGTTTTCCTATTTCAGTCAAAAGAAATCAATTAATTACATGAGACATCACATCATTCGTGCTACTAAAAATATATAGTATCAGTTTATTCAGAGCGAGATGAAGATAAATGCATCCATTAAATAAAAATATTATGCTGAAAGAATGTATAAATTATATGCAACATCTATAATTATTGTTATAATTCATATAATTAATTATAATTATATGAATGTATAAATTATATGCAAAAGCACTCGAGTTCAGGAACCTGCTCCGAATGCAAGTACAACAATAACTTAATGCCGAACGTGTGCACAACTACAACAGTACAGTGTCATCCTTAATAATATTATGATCAGAACTTGCCTTATTATTCACAACATCCTGAAAATTTTTTTGATTGTATTTAACAGTATCTTGAGATTTAATTTCCTCTTAGCTCTTCCGTCATACTCTGCAAACCCAAAGATCTGGCTAGTTTGTATCTTCCATTCATTATTTTACATTCTAATTCAATTTATACTCAGTTTCCACAAATGAAAAACAGACATGAAGTAGAAATCAGCTAAGTTACACATATATCCATATCTATACAGTTCCTCTTAACAACTCAGATTGCTAAATAGAAATTTTAATCCTTATATGACAAAACAATTTCACCATCTGGGTCAAAAACAGATTCATAAATAATACAATGAGTCATCCTGCAAAGCACAAAACCATTCCAACTTCCAGTTAACTTATAAGAAATTAAGCATGTTATGACAACAGATAAAGTAGAAAGAAAGCTGGATTTTGTGTCCGCAACAGTGGACTATAAATTAACATGCTCTGTTGCATTACAAACAGTATGTTAATTAAAAGAACAGTGATCTGAAAAAGTACAGCTTAATGTATATTTTGTCATGTACAACAGTGATACATCTTGTCAAACCTATCAGAAATGCCATACTTACTCTCAAATCCTTTAAGAACGGTATCATAAAATCAAAACTAGGAAAAATGTAACATATGCTAATTTGGAGGTCAGGTCTCCCTGTTCCAGAGCAAAAGTTCTATTACGTGGGAAAGTAAAACAGGTGGCAAAAAGTAACTTGTCAAAATTATACAGCTTCTACAGCTTCTGCCCAGCTACCCCACTCCGTGCCCACATCTCATGCAAGGCACACAAAAAGTAAGGACACGCTATGTGTAGCAAACAGTGAAGTATCATCAGAGTATGGCATCATGGAAACAATACAGGGAAGTATTTCCTGAGCTTAGGCTCCTGAAAAACCTCCTCTGCTCATTCCCCTTCTACTTACACCAGGAATTTGTCTACTCAAACAACTCTGCTGAGCTCAATCACAGAAGTTCCCACAAGGAAAAGGTGGTCTCTGAAGTATTCCTGAGAATGCCACATCAGGGCATAACGTTGTACAGGAATGCTATGATGCACTGAGCATCCTTTGAAGGGAAATTGCTACACCTTAATTCCATCAGTATATAGGAATTATCTGCAGGCAGAGCTGTCCAGCAAGCACTAGATAGGCACAATGTTCCTCCTTCTGACGAAAACATCACAGAACCAGATGTGCATTGCAGAAGTTCATCATACCCCTTTCCACCCAGTTACTACAGCACAATGGGTATCTTGCAGGCAAATTATCACTGTCCCCACTCTGCTACTTTTCCTCTGCCTGGATTTATTTCTTCATTTAATGAAATGCAGAAATGCTATAAAAACACTGGAAAGGACCTGTTCCACTGTTCTGCATGAAAAAAATAATGAAAAGTTTGTAGTCCTTAGCAAACTAATAAAGTTGAATCATAAAACAGACAGTGCTTAAAGAGCCATAGAATTGGCTTAAGCTCCAGTTCATGTGATTATGGCATTAAAGATCCAACCCATGTGACTATGGAATAAAAGCAAACCCAAGGCTTGGAACTTCTCAGCTTCTCAGAAACTCAAGTCTTCCATTTGCAAGGTCATACTATACAGATGTATCAAGACATGCTAGGGTGAGCAGTTCATTGGGAGCTACTGGCCAACCCAGAGCACTGAAGACAGCATTTGGTAGGATTTTTTTGGCAGTGTGCCTCCCTATGCACCTCACGCACATGGCTGCACCTCAACATTTCCATGTCGCAGAGTATTTTATTCATTACTCAGCAGAGCTTCAGAGCTCTCTCAATTAAGAAGCGCGTGTTGGTCATGATTCAGTAAGTACTTACAGCACCTGGGGGATGATGTCTCTGTATTTTTAAGCTATTTACTTAAAAGCAGAAGGCATCCTACTCTATTTTGTTTCACCTAGCAGGAAATACTTCACTTAAGGAAAAGGAGTGTTCAGAAGATAAACTGTATGTTTAATAACTCTTGAACAATCAGTAGCATACTCACATGGGAAGTCATCCACAAACATGGGGTCTATGTTATGCAGCAGCTCCACTCTGGGGGAAGGTCTTCCTTCACTAGGAGAGATTTCAAAAGGAGATGTTAATTTCCTTCTACAGGTCATTAGGATTCTGCATGTTTTATTTTAAGGTTTTTGTCATCCTCATACAGAATGAACTTATAACCGTAAACTAATTGCTATCAGCTCTACAATTACCTGAGAGGGGGTTGTGGTGAGGTGGGTGTTGGTCTCTACTCCCAAGTAACTAGTGACAGAACGAGAGGAAATGGCCTCAAGCTGCGTCAGGGGAGGTTTAGATTAGATATTAGGGAAAATTTCTTCACTGAGAGAGTGGTCAAGCATTGGAAGAGGCTGCCCAGGGAGGTGGTGGAGTCGCCATCTCTGGAAGTGTTCAAAAAACGTGTGGGCGTGGCACTTCGGGACATGGTTTAGTGGGCATGGTGGTGTTGGGTTGGTGGTTGGACTTGATGATCTTAAAGGTCTTTTCCAACCTTAATTATTCTGTGATTCTGTGAACTTTAATCTGAATGCTCTTTTCCAGCCTAGTAGCAACAGCTTTTGCCCCTATCAGTCTTCCCTGACTTCACTGATGTTTAGTGAGATTATTGACAAGTTTACAAAATACAGAATTGGCCCTACCAAAGCAGGGGTTTACAATAATCAATTTTAAAAATCAAATTTTGCAGGTTCAGCTGGCATGGCACTTGCTATGATCTCTGCATACCTGAATGAGTGCTGAAAGTATTTTGGCTGAGTGTCTCAAAAAAACACCAGAGGCATTGCCTACCCCTCAAAAAAAAAAACCATCTTCAATTTGTAATTGAGGTCACAAGGATTACTTAGATACTCTGAACCTTCTTGTGGAAAAAAAAAATCATCCCTCTTTCTAGCCATTGACTACATAGGGATGGTGTGGAATGAGCATCTGAACTTACCCATAACTCTTCTAAATTAAGTAAATCCCAGTCCTAAAAAACTCAGTAAAAGAAATTTACTCCTTATAAAGGGCAACATGAGTAGGAAGACATAATTAGAAAGAACCTTGGCTACATCACAACACAACAATATTTTATTATTTGACAGTGAACCTAAACATATCTTTTTAGAAACTTACAAATAACTTAAATTGTTTTCTTTTTGTTAAGCGGCTTCATTGTAAGACTCAAAAATTCAGCCAGGGTCCCTAAACCATTTGACATTAGAAATGAGAAAATCAGGTAATATAAAACTTAGTGGAAACCTCAAAAATGGCTGTTATTTTAATATATAAAATATATAATTAAACAATATTTTCCTCTAATTTAAAATTTTCAATAACAACTAACTAAAACAAATATTGTTCCATTATATTTCTAAAACTGTTTCTGGATGCTACGTATTTTGCATAAATACAAAATTATCAAGGAGGATTTGATGAAAGATTAAATGTATTCAGATAATGCAGCCTTGGAGTAGTACCAAGGAAGTACAATAATTAACCAACAGTGTTAGTAATTCAGTGTATAAAAACCGCCACAAAAATGTTTTTAACAAAATGTGTGTGAAAGATTAACTCACACACACAGACTCCTATCTATAGCAGTCACACTCTTAACTAAGGAATGCCTGGCCTTATTAACCAAATTTTATCTTAGATTTAGTAGACTCCTAGACGCTCCACCTACAGCTGTGGTCGAGTGCCCCTTTTGCCATCTGTTCATAGGTAACAGGATCATGAACCAGTTAGCACAAGTTAAACTAGGATGCGAATTTGCAGCATGTGAATGACTCTGCAGTAACTGCTTGGGGGGTTAAAAAAATTTTTGGGAATATTTTTTGGGAAAAATATTTTTGGGAAAAATCCTTATTTTTCAGTTTCTGGGCTGTATCTAGATTTTTCAGTATCCTTTTAAAACAAAGCAAACACCAGAATTATGCTAAGTAATCTAGATCTTCCACCAGGGTCAAATATAGAAGGAAGAAGTAACTTACTCCTATGTGTTTCTCCCGCTTATACATCCAATATTCATATAGTACCACGTTAGGAGAAAGCCAGAACCAAGGATGTTCATGCTGTTCAGGCAGACTAGTATTACCATCATATCATTAAAGGTAATTTCCTTTACGGCTTTTAAACTAGAGGGTGGATATTGTACAATAAACATGGCTACAAATGTTATTGTGCAGCAGTTGGAACACAAAATGTAAAGATTACACCAGCGCTCATGTAAGATTTTCATGTTGCAGTTGTCATTTTTATTGAATCCATTTTTTTCTGGGGTAGAATATTGGTGTTCGTAACTTGGAAATGTGATTTATATATAATCACGAGATATGGTCCCTGAAGCTTATGGCTTTACTGTATTAAGTGCTGTAGCACTATCAGCCGGCACTGAACTGCTTGTTTAGTTTGGGTGTTAATAGCCAGAGAAAAGAAGATCACACTGTACGTTGAAGAAAGCGGCTGGCTGAGAGAAAAGGACATCAGGAAGACAGAAGCAATGTCCTGGGGACAGCAAGTAGAGAATTTACACCTGCAACGGAGCTCCCTTTCTCTGTGCCTACACTCTGTCCCCCTCCCCACTGATGGAGCTCCATGCTGACCTTAGTTCCCTCAAAAGACACAACCTCAACAACAGATTAACCATGGCGGATGTTCTGCCAAGGACATGTTGTTATCAGGAACAGAGTCTAGCCAACAGAGCTAGAATGAGAAAGCAGTAAGATTCCCTGGGGAATCCTGCCTTTGTATTTTAGTAACTTCCAGTGCAACCATATCTTACAATGCTCTAATTTTAGAGTCTTTATTTTTAGACTCCAATATTCTAATACATTACTCCTCTCCCTAAAAATAAGAATTACTTCTTTTGCGTGGTTATTATTCTACCATGTGTGATTGACTATTTAATTAAGCAGCTACAAGGTATTGTTTTCCCAAAAAGTCAAGTCCTCTATGTAAGAACATCTTGATGAAAACATACAAACTAACTTCAGAGCTGGTATGAGAATCAGCAAGTTTGTGCTGGCAACATTGCTCTGTTTTCTGCTTTGCAAATTTTTTAAAACACACAGAAACATCTATTACTCCTTAGGAACGTGAACAAACATCCGCATGCAATCTTTCGCTTTTTTTGTTGATGTTGTTAAATATGCAGAAGGTGTCCTTGGGAAGGAATCCAAGGATTTTCAGGGTAAATATGTTTATCTTGCACAAAAACATCCTCGGTGTCACTCCGCAAAATCTGAGCCTTTATAGCCTTGCCATATATTGTACTTCTCTGGGTTATATCTGTACACGCTTTCCTAAAATGGTTATATTTCAGATATGCTGGAAATAAACATTACTCTCAGCTTTATGTCACTCTTTCTTCAGCCTTAATTTATACCACAACAATGAAAAGTTTTTTTCAAACAGCTGTTTAATTCCTAAAATTAATGTAACCATTTGATACACAAGAATTCAAGTTATCTTGTTTCATTTACTCATGTAGTCAATTCTGGTATTTCCAACATTACACAAATACAAAACGGAAACTTGCCCTGCAAAATCTATGAGTAAAACTTGAAAACATATGCTTGCTAACAAGCTTTGAAGAAATATTAGTATTTTTTACTGCATTTTATCCTGAATCTCTCAGTTCCTATCATACTGCTTCATGTACTGTACGGTTTGGTTGCCCATTTTCCTGCTAACACAAAACAAAATCTTTTTTCTGAGCACAGACAACCTAGATCAGTACTGAAAACAAAAATATATCAAAACAATGTATCAACCAGGGCAAATTTATACATAAGTAAAATTATTTTGCCTCGTGTCTCTATTTCAATAGAGTAGCAAGCATCTGGAGAACAGATGTTTCCTAGAAATGCAAGTGCCTTTTGAGATACTTGCTCGGAAACATGCAGTATGGTTTAGACACCTTGACTGGTTGCATTTTAGTGTTTAATTTTAATTAAACATGAATTCTCCATTATTTTTTCTTGGTATTCTCATTTACTATTTTTGTAAAATAAATTAATGATATTACCCTATGTTTTTAGATGTAATCTCTAATATGTACATGGTGTTAGAGGTTCCAGCAATGTTGTAGTTTTACCTGTGGTAATCTGAGGTGTTAGAAAAGTGCAGCCTACTATGATTTATGTAGAAGGCTTATACCTGAGATTGCAATGGTCTGATGGATATCCAAAGATGGGTTGGTACAATGCTACTATCATAAGTTATTTTCAAAAAGAAGCTGGAAACATTAAAGGGGAAGTTAAATCTAATTCCAAAGGTACTTGGAGGAAAATGAAGTTTAGGAACAACTGGTCTGAAGATACACTGCAATAAAATTTTGGATGGAAAAGCTTTTGTGGTGGCCTACTATCTTTTACTGTAGAAAACTGTAGCAGAAAGGTCAAGATTGTCATGAACGAAGAGTGGGAAGACCTGCATGTGGAGACAACAGCACAAACACACAGGCAGGGAAAGGGGTCTCATAACAGCCTGTGTTAATGACACTCGCATTAGGTCAGCAGGACCCCAACACATCTAGGCCAGTTTCACAGGACAGAGACATAGGGAGACAAAACAATGATGTCACCTGGTGACTCTCAGAGGTGGGACAGTACAGAGAAGCAACACCAAAAGGGTACAAAAAGGCATAACCAGAACCTGTGCATGGTCACCAACCTAAGAAGAACATTCAAGGTGTTAGAAGAACTTCCTAACTGGCGTCCCTGGACTTCTGCGCAGTCTCAGCAGATCCTGGGCCTAACATCTGATCACAAGCATCGTGGTGCCTGGCTGCCAGATGGCACCAGGGCTTGAAAACCCCTGCCCTGGTGCCTGGATGCTGGGCAGACTTCTTAGAACACCCACCTTTTGGTGAGTGAGAGCGTCAGATTGTGAGAGTGAGAGTAAAACCTGCTTTATTTCAGCTTCTATTTTAAATAAAATCACATTCCTCTTCTATTAAGTCTCTCATTGATACAGTATTAAAACAGTATTTCCTACACTACTAGGTCAGCAGATCAAACTGGGAAAAGCAGACAAGCTTTTGAGTTCAAAGTCCCTATCAAAGAGCTTTTAAGTAGCACGCAAATTTTTACCTAAGAAAAGGAGTTAAAACAATGAGAACAAGAGCATTGTACTTCCTCAGTTTCATGCATTGTATGAAAGAAACTTAAAGTATAGCTAGCTAAAAAGAATGCAAAAGAAGATGTTTTTGTCCACAAGAAACATGTGCTCATGAAATTTATCTTTTCATGCCATTTGCTCCTAACCATTAACTTTCTTCTGGTTCTTCATGTCAAAATTAAATAGAAGAGGCATGAAATGAACAGTGGTACACACATGTGTTCTTCAGCACTTCTATTTACTACAAGAACTTAATATTCATCCAGTCAGTGTCATGTTAATGCAATTCTTAATTTGGACTACCAATAGTGTTAAAATCATTACAGAAAGTTCATTTTGGTCTAGGATATCAGAATTTCTATTTAGGTTTTCAGAATTTCTATTTAGGATTTCAACATGTATATATAATTTCAATATTTTATATAACGATCTATATTAGGATTTATATAGTTATATTTAATTATTTTCAGAATTATATTTTTCTATTTATTATATAAATACGATATTAAGAACACATCCTTTGAAAACTGACTGTTTTTCAACAGAGATCAGACAGATACTGGAGTGGATCCAATATTTTTGTGACTTCTGGGAGTACCTTCATTGTTTCATGTGCTCTTTTGAATATCTAAATCAAGGTTCCAAATTTATAACCTTTTCCCCTCTAATTACACACATATGAAACAGTAGGCTTAGGATTATAGTCCACAAAAGAACTCCAACAACAAGCCCACAAGAAGCATATGCAGCTACTCGTATTAAATTGGGCTGAACAAAATACAGATGTAACACAGTGATTGGCTATTAATTTACTTTTTTCAAATGAGGTAGAATCTTAGCAAAATTTAATTTCACTCATTATGAGCAACGTATTTGAACTTTCCATCAGATGTCACCAAAAGGGCACTGTGCCTTCATTGTTTGCTATCCAATATTCAAGTGACCTTTTGAGTTATGACCATGAAATTTAATACACTCATTTCTCCTGATTTCATGGGAAGATCATGTGAAATTTGACATTTTGGCTGCGAGGTCAGCCAAAGAGCAGCCTAACAGTTCACAAAACCTGACTTTTTTCTCCCCTCTGGACAGAGGCCCTCCAGTTGACAATACTGAAAATATTGGAGGTCACCTGTTTCCTAGTAGTTCCAGTAAACATTGCATTCAGTTCCTCCACGAAGAGATATGATTCAAGTGCCAGGAGACTGCAGGGGATGCAAAGCTGTACCTATCCTTCCCCA